AATTTGGCAAAAGAGTAAGAGTTTAGGGTGACATCTGCTCCAATTAAAATCTTAAATGATTTTTTATTGTTTTTTTTTCCCCCCTTCACTTTTTGTTACACTGACCCTTGAAACATGACTCAAATTAAATAAGAGGCCTTTTGTTCCCTCATTACTGAACTAGCCGCTTGTTGAAACACACAAGGTGCATTCTTAATGCTTAATATCTTAATTTTCACACAGCAATATTGGGATAACATTTGCACCACGTGATCAATTATTCTAACCAGGCTTTTTTACAGCATGGATTAGCATAATTAATACAAGCACAACAATATACACACGCAGCATGAAGATCCAAACTCATCATGTGACACTAGCAAAACAGGGCTCCGACATAATAGTCATTGTGCTCTCAGGGTGAGGTGGGCTGATCAGAGAGGCAGACTGTTCTCTGACTGTGACACTCCTGATTCCAGTGCCAACTGCCCTGCCACCCACAGACACAGACACACCCACTGGCAGAAGGGCCAGCCTGCACGGAGCCACGCCATCATGGAAACTGAACCAAAGAGCATTTACAATGCTTCTGGGTTTTTTTTCTCCTTGCTCCTCTCCTTAGTTCTCAGGGTCAAAATCTTTTATTGTTATACAATGTGACGTTTATAGAGCTTATTTGCTCATTTAAAAATACATTCTGTTCCTACTAGTATACGAGGCCAAAAACAAGCTTGGGATATGTCAAGTTTCGCACATCTATAAACTGAAGTTGTTGCCAATTATTCCTCACAAAATAGTTATAGATCTTGTTTTCAGGGCTGGACACAGGTTCTAAACTAGATTTAGATCTGGACTTCAACTTCATTGATGTCTCTCTTGTGAGTCTCCCAGTGATGGCTTGGTGACCGGTCCAGAGTGAACACTGGAGAAAGGCATGGATGTTTAAATCAGGACAGAAAAGTAAATATGTATCATACTTTATTAACATTAGCCATGGCATATCTTGAAAGAAACAAATAAAAATCATTTCAGAGAAACACATCCTGCATAGAGTAAGACTAGAAAGTAACGTAGTGTGACCTGCTCCTGCTCCCCATATGAAGGACACCTGCTGTAAGCAAAAGCCTTAAGGTGAATTTGACACTGATGTGAAATAAAGTGTTGACTCATTAACAGCCCATGGTTCTTAGAAAATAAGACTTCCTAATAATGTGTACTGAGAAAGCAAACCCCTATGAAAATCAGTCTCCTTTCTCTTAACATTCTGTTGAATATAAAAACAGAGGAATACCATGTCTGTGCATGTAAACACCAACTTCTTTTTGACACCCAAGTTCAACAAAACCTGCATGACATAAGCTCCAGATACCCATGTTATCGTCACATAAAACATGCAGTTCTGCGTTTATGACGAGGCTTCTGGTTTTATGGATAGCATTTCCTCCTTTGACCGTGTTGTGGCTGCACACCGTTACACAGAACCAGCAATTTAGAGTGAATCACTCCTTTATTTTTATTTTTCAAAAGGATTATACTCACAAAAGGCAGGTCAAAGTACAGTCAAAGTATGCATTTTTCTTAACCCACCTTAATTCCCCAAGATGATAGCCGAAATTCTAAAAACTTTAAATGAAACGTCAAAAGCCGTATTCATGGCTAAATCTGTCAGGCGAAACAAGGAAATCCTGATTCCTAAAACCCAAAGCATCCAACTGTCCACATGTAAGAGCTACATTTTGATTTTAAATTCATGCATGATTCATGTGCAAACCAGGTAAGCAAGCTTGGAGGAAGCAAAACGTTTAAAGCCGTAAACAAGGATGTATGGAGACAGAAACCAGTTTCACTTTCCTGTTTGTCTTTGCTTTGATTAAAAAAGGGTACAAATGGTAAGATTACATAAGCAAGGCCCAAAAATGGGTTGGTATGTTGTCAAACACTGCTGAGATAGTAGAAGGAGGGGCCAGCAACATGTTCCTAAGAAACGTGTCAACAAAACTCCAGACAATCCACTCCTATGTTCATGCCAAGCATATAAAAAGAAGGAAGTCATTAATTTAACTACCTTATCGTATTGCAGGTCCATATCTGTCTTACAGCTTTTAAAATGAGTCAAGACACAGCAATCAGTGTTTGGCTCTCCCAGTGGGGAGGCTTCGCTGTGTCAAACAACCGATGCTTATATTTATAAGAAAAGCTTTTCATGAAGAAAAAAAAACTGAAAGAAAACATAAGGCCAAAGCAAAACCAAACTTTCTTCTTTGAAGATTAGACTCATCGCTGTCGTCTAATCAATAATTAACCCATGAAACCTCATTCTGACTGCTATCTGATCCACAGTATGTAAATAGAAAATAACTCAATATATATTTAGCATACTTATCAGTGTTATGAAATATGGACACAGCTTGTAAAACACATGAAAGTAGCATCTAAACCAACTACCACCATATGATTTCTAAAGCTCTTCTGTAGTTTTATAAATATTTACTGTGCAACAAAAGACGTAAAATGATCAGCAGGTGAAAATACTGTTGTACTGAGGGATACATTTGATTTACTCCTGTATTTCAAAGAGTATTTTGAAAGGTGATTAATTTACTTTTTTTTTTCTTTCATTCCAATTTTAAGTATTTCAAGTCCATTTTGGTCCATTTTTAATGAATTGACTGTACAATACAGTCAAATTTACAAGCAAAGCATCTTCAATAGTCTTTTGTATTCCAAGGATGCAGCAGACTGTCACTGAAGGAGCTCTCCGTTTCTGCAACAGCTTGATGCATGGAGTAGAATCTGAACTGGGCTGAGAGGGCATCCCAGGACAGAGCTTGCCTTGCTGATGAGCTAATTTACCCACTTCCTCCCAGTTGTTGATAAGCAACTTGTCTACCAAACTACACTGATGGCTAAACTACCAATTCAAGCATAGTCCCTCGGTAGTTGGAACACATTTTCTGACTTCAGATTTTACCTTGGAGGAAATCAATAATAAAACCGTCTGGGAAACGTGTTTTTCCATACTCATGCAGATACATCTTTTTGAATTAAAAGGTTTGTGTAAATAGTGTGTGTAAATCTGTAAATCAACTTTCAACTCAAACCTCAAGTCATAACCGTGTAGCACCTTAAAGCTCATTATCCTCCTCTCACACGCTGCTGGTTGCCAATGCTGTCAAGTGTCACTAGCCTCACGTTTTGTTTTTTAACTTTGTATGGCTGTTTCATAATATATCAACTAGAGGGCAGCTTTGAGTTAGCTTACGAATTTACAGAAAAGTTTCAGACATTAATAAACATGGTTTGGAGGACTGTCTTTACAATTTATTACATTATAGCCTCCGAATGGAGAGGTTACACCATTTCTAACGCTGTCTTCATCAACATCTTTGTCTTTTTTTGGTATTTTTTATCCTACACCATTCTGTTCTCATGATTCTTGGTGGTATTGCTTTGTTTGTTGGGTTTTGGGTATGGATCTGGAAGATTCCAAATGACTAAGGTGCACAAGTTGAACACACACATAAAAATGGACAGAAGGCTGCATCCAACATGTGTCTGCGTATTTAACATTGAGCACAAATTGGGTGTTTTAGGTCAATGTAGTCAACAGGCACTGGTCATTTAGTTTTTGTAATTTTGTACCTGACGTTTTTAGTTGATGCACCTTTCTCTCCCAGAATGTGGTGTAGCAGTTATGTTTGTAAGTTCATACAAACAAGTGATCATTTAAAGTAACTTTTAATAGCGATTAAAAGTGACTTTTAATCACACTATGCAACTTCAGTATGTAACATTTACTGATAGAAGGTTGCTCGGTTATTTTGCTTTGATGAAACCAAAATAATCAAACATAACTTTGTTATATTTGGGTCATAACAAAGTATGACCCGAACATACTTTATTAGGGTCTACTGGCCAGTAGAGTAATTACAACCAATATAAATGGAATCAGGTTGTAATACAAACTCTCCACACAATAATACATAACAAAATTAAATTATATGCAACCTTTTTCTGACTTGTTTATCTCCACAATTCACAAAAACACTCAACTGATGCTATTGCTAAACCATAGCAATATGGTTCTCATCATAGATAATTTTAGCTGTTTTAGAACTAACAATTTCAATAAAATAAATCAATATGCCTAGATACAGGCAACTGGCCCGTGTCTATTCTTCACAAATCCCTGGACTGTGGGTGTGGATATGCTTAGCCATTGAAATAATGAGACGCAATAATGACTAACTTGTTATACTGTGTATGATGTCCTGATTGTCTGTGTAGTTGGAGCCCCTGAAAACAATTCAAACTGACATTATGAAAACATTGAGGCAGTAACAGACCAGTTTTGGGAGACAGAAAAATCAAGGGAAAGTCTCCTCAAGCATTTCGGCACTTAAACAATCTTCTCTTATGTCACCACTATTATTGGGCAATGGGGAGACATCGGCGTCACTTAGTGCGCATGCTCAGAACAAAGATTACTCCGAAAAGCCCAACAGAGGGAAATAAACTCGAGTGATGAACAACTAATTGACTTGATAGGAGGTGAATGCATCTCTTGGATGCTTGGTTTTGCATTTAGTTGGAATTTGCAGCTTCGCTTAATCGTTAAAATACATCGGTCAGGCTATAAATGAAGGGAAATGAGTTGGTGCTATTGTCAGCTGTAGAGTCAACACACGTGCAACTCAATTCACTTATATCTGAAAACATTTTTCACTAAAATTATACAGAGATGAAAGATTGACACCTTTTTTATCTTGAACGTGCAAAAATGGTGAGGAGTTTGAAAAAGCAACAGAGAAATGTGATATGTTACTGTTTATTGTGGTCAGCTAATTTAAATACTTGTGCATTTAAACGCTGAATTCACACTCAGCAGGCCCGTTTCCTTCCTAAAATATAGCCCCCACAGACGCCAAGCACACGAGAGCCGCAAACCGCGACAGAAATCCCACCGAGGACAGATCCGCATGGTCAGCGGGGCTTTCTAATGTTGAACAAAATGCACTTACCAACGAAATAGGACACCGCAAGCGGAGAAATGTGCCACCGTTCCCTATCCGCCTCCTACTTCTCCACGCCTGTCTGTCTTCTGCGTGTATTTCCCCAGAACAGCGTCTACGTGGGCTGCGTCGAAAATGCCGAGATTCCAGCAGTGGCTGACGGTTCTGTCGCTCCCGTCCGGTCCGGGTCGATTACCCTCTCGACTCGGCCAAATCAAGCGACCACTGAATGTCGCCTGCTGCTACTGCTCTCATCCGGGCGTTTGCGGGAGGAGGGAGAGGAAGAGCCGTCCGTCCGTTTCAGCGCTGCTCTGGATGTCAGATTTGAGATGAAGGAGGGCGGGCAGGGGGAGCATATAGAGAGGCAGGGAAGGAGAGGGAGTCAGTCTGGTCATTGCATGGCGACAGCATGTAGCTAGTGGATGAAATATTTTAATTTCTGCAAGACACAGGATTTTTAAAATGTTGATCTACATTTTCCCGGAATGCACATTTTATTACAACCTGAAGACATATTAATCTCTAATAGATTTCTACTAACACTGCTGTAAATCAATGACAGATCCACGTGAATACCATTTAATGTGTTTATTTTTATTTTTTTTGCCCTGCGAAGTCATTTCGTTCCATTATACCACGCCTGGCTTATTTTTTCCTTTAAACACCGAGAAATGTAAAGATGGAGGAAAATACAGATCTACTTGTGGAGACTTTGGAGACAATTAACCAATCAACTTACCTTTGTATGGATGGATGTCCCGACCACGAGTCCTTTCCGTGCACTTTCACCAAAACATCAATGTTTTGGTCATAGTGTGGGGGACCAGTTGCTGGGGACTTTAGATCAAGGAACCCCACCCTTCCATAAAATATGATTCTATTCTCTTTCCTCTGAAAATTTTGTTTTGTTATTTTTGAAGCACTGTGTTTCATAGTCCATTAAGCTGTACAGTCATATAAGTTGGTAACTATTCTGGCTGAGAGTGAAATTAGTTTAGAAAGGGATGAGTTTTTAACAGGCGTTTGGGGCAGCCTGGGGTCCTAAGATGTCTGCGTTGAAGAAGATAAAACTCAGTAGATCATAGCAACCATAGTGTGACGCACGTCGGATTTATGATTGTTGCTTGTATTTTCAGGTAAGCAGAAGTAGTAAAAAGTTACCAACAGGCGTTGTATGATTGTTACATTAAGTTGTAAAGTTTCATAAGACAAATTGTACATTGCTGTATTAATGACGGAGATGTGATTATCTCAGTCGAGACAGCTAAGTGAGGAACGTAAACTCAGTAAATCACAGCAGCCACGGATTTATGAATCGAGTGTGCAACAATAGTCATCCTCCCCCGTACTTTAACATTCTTGATTTGAATCAGTCATGGGGTGTTTTTAGCCTCCCCTTTAACAAAAAATTAATTCCTTCGTCCATTATGTAGAACATTTTATATCACCCTTAACTGTCTTGTCTATTAATTTTAGAGGGGATGCATTTTAATTTCTGAGCCTGCCCATGTCTGCATCTCCTGTCAATTGTCCTATTGGTATGAAAATTATACCCGTAGCTCAGAGAACAAGTGTGATTATGTGGAAATGGTGAAATCCCTATTAACTCTTCATTTCTAAAATTCAGGAGGGGGATGCATTTTTTGGCATAGGGAATTCTTAGTTTGCTGATATCTGCATGCCCTATCTACTTTCCCCACTTAGCGTCCAAAGAAGGCCGCCGCACCTGCGGCTGGGCGACCGCGGATGCGGACGGGGGGGAAGGCGCCGCCGCAGATGCGGGGCTGCCTGCTGGACGGGACCTAGGATCCAGTCCCTGGATCCGGGCCGGCTCTTGGGGCGGACTCTGCGCCCCGTTCGGCCGCAGGTGTGCTGCGGTCCGATTAGCCGCAGGTGTGCTGCATCACGCCTGATTAGGACACCGGCTACTTGGCCAGAGGCACGTGCCTGCCAGCCTCAGTTGGAGTTTTGCAGCACGGTGAGTAGCACGACCGCTTCAAAGTTCGTCAACCGATGTCCAGTGTGCACCCGCAGATCGTGGCGGCTGCGGGAACACCTGGACGACAAGCACAAAGTGAGGAACCCGGTGGAACATCGTATCCTCCTGGCATTTGCCAGGGGGCGGGTGAATGTGAAGGGGATGCCGTGTCCGGTGCAGGGCTGCCGTTACGACGGCCGCCGTGCACCTCAGCACCTCCAAGAGTCCCACCGTGACCTGGGTCCGTGGCAGAAGCGGCGTCTTCTGGCTGGCCTCCAGCGGCGCAAGACGCTGGACAAGCTGAGGGAGCTAAGGCGCTCAAGACCCGAACCACCCATGGCTACCGGGCTGGACCTGCCGGAGGCAGGCCACGGTGCTCCGGCAGCGGTGGTGGGGATTCGGCCCGCCCGCAGCTCACCACCACCACCAGGGAGGCCGGCGGTGGTGGAGGACGAGGAGGAGTAGATGGAGACGGAGGAGCAGGAGCAGATGGAGGTAGACAACCACCACCACGACGACGACGGCTCCACCGTCTCCGGGACCACCATCGCCTCCCACCCCCGACGAGCCCGATTCCTCGGAGCCGGGAGCCAGCACCAGCAAGACCCGCAGGAGGGCGGATCCGGAAGACAGAGTCCCACCTCCACCACGCCCAACGAGCCCACGGAGCCCAAGGAGCCGGTGCGTACAACCATCCACTTTCCAGAGTGCATGGAACAGTATTTGGACGGTTACAGGAGACACCTTGTCGGTGCCTTGCCCTCGAAAAAGCATGTGGAGAACGCGAGGTCCAAGATGGGCCGGCTGACCCATTTCCTGAACAGAATGGCCAAGGGGAAGAGCGGGCTGGAGTCCTGGCGGTTCATGGACGACGCCGACAGGGTCCTCGGCTGGCCGGCCGACCTGCTGAAGCAGGGCAAGCAGATAACCACAGTCAAAGTGTACCTAGTCAACACGGGTCAGTTCCTGACCTACTTCCAAGAGACTCCGCCCGAGGGCTCCACGGTATCCAAGTACGGACTGGTCTCCGTCACCCTGGCCCTGAAGTCCGCCGCCGGGCAGATCTCCACCACCGTCGTCCTGCATCAGATCCAGGTGAAGGACCAGAAGGAGAAACGCACTGTAACGGCGCCGGTTCTGCGCAGGTGCCTGGAGGAATGCCGCACGTGGATCCCGACGCTGTTGCGCGACTCATCGCAGAGGAGGCGCGACGTGGTCCTGCGGCACCAGCTCTACGGCTTCTTGGCTTTCTACATAGCTTCTCTCTACGGCCACAGGCCGGGCGTGGTCCGCAACATGAGAGCGGCTGAGGTCCAAGAAGCCGAGTCAGGATTCAGGCACGACTCCTCCGGCTACGTCATAAACGTAAGTGCCCCGTCCGACCACTTCATCCCAGAGACAGAACCAGAGGCCCGGGTGACAGAGGCCTCTCGGTTGAACCCAGGAACCGAGAGGCTGCAGTCACGGCTCTCTGCGAACCAGGACCTCCAGCCGAACCACTTACCCCAGAGACAGAACCAGGGGCCCGGGTAACAGAGAACCGGGACTGCAGCCTCTCGGTTGAACCCAGGAACCGAGAGGCTGCAGTCACTCCAAAGGATGGAGAACCCGCCGGCTCTCCGGGCCGAAGGGAGAGCGCGGTGGACGGGACCGGGACGCCGGCCCGCATATTGGGAAAGGGAACCGGGGGCCCTCGCCGACAGAGACCCGTGGACGCAGCCTCTGTCACGACCGGGAGGTGCTGCACGGCCGGGGGCACCGCTGGCACCACGCAGCCCATTTGCGTGGCCCAAGATTCGGCGGCGCTAACCCTGCAAAAAGTCCAGATTGCATTTAGGCAAGGAACTCAAACACTGGTGGCAATTGGAACAGAAATAGCCAACGACAGAGACACGTCCAGGATCCAACAAGGAACACGAGACACAGCTGGGAGCAATCAAGGGCAGAGAGACAACCAGGAACTAAATTGACACACAGAATACAAGATATTTATATACATGTTACTTTATATTCTGCTTTTGATGTTGGAAACAAAAGTCAGTCTGAAAGTAATGGCCTACTAATCACATTGCCATTAATCTGATATTATTTGAGTAGAACTTTTAAGATGATAAACAGTTAAGAGGGATTTAAGCTTTTCAACATAATCATACATGTTCTCTGAGTTACTGGTATAATTTTCAAATGGGATACACATATTGGCAGAATAGGGAATTAAAATGCATCCCTTCCTACATCAATAAACTACTAGACAGTTAAGGGTCGATATAAAATTGTCATGCGTTAAGCTATTAGGGTGTAGCTTAACACTGAAGAAAAGAAAAAGCGGGGAGTTGCTGGTGACCCGGATGATGCCTAAAATTCAAATGGAGGTCCAATAGTGGATGTCTCCACAAAGCAAAATGAATCACGAGCACGCTAATGCCCTAAATAGGCTGAAACAGACGAGGTATCTCGAAAAAATATTTAGGATATGATCTGTAGTATCTTGGTTAAAAAAAAGACTTGTCTTATAATCTTGAGGATTTACATAGTGTTGAGGTGATCCACATAACTAACTATCTGGTTCTCCAGAGTTCATAACAACAAACCAGAAGAGAGTTTTCAAAAGCCTGGAGAAGACAATTATTTTGTTTCAGGTTGGGACAACCAGTTAGGATAAAAATAAGCATTAAATGACTGTGGAGTAATGAGTTGTGCTATTTTAAGAAATTAATCTATAACAATGCTACCGCTAACAACGAATTAAGCCATTTTATTTCTATGAGCGTGGAAAATAATTTACTTAGCTTCTGTAAACCCAAATTTATGGTGGAGTTGCATGTTGAGTTGTAGGAAGCTGGATTCAGGTCCAATGTAGGTCAACTATTTGATGCAATCCACAGAAACCGCTGCGACCCACATGGTTCCTGTCCAGACACGAACCATGTGGGGGAATGGTCACAGCTCACTGACTGTATGGTAGGTTAAATTTAATTTATTCAGGTTTTTATTCGCATGAAAGTCCCACTAAATGAACATATTTTCTATCCATGACTCAGCACTAAGCTAGCTGCTAACAAAGTTAGCACTCTTTGAGTGATTGTTCTTGTAACTGTCCAATAAGATATCTGAAAATACAATTTAAACAATGCTGTGGTTTCTGTTGGAGAATGGGCTCTGCAAACTCTGACATTGTTAGTTTCCGCAGGTGTTTTTAACCCCAGATTGTTGATCCACTTTTCTCGTATTTTTTCCGGTAAGTTTTTAAAATTAACTCCCTTGTGACCAACTAACATGGAAACACAAAAATAACGTTTATCTTTCTGTCTATTGGTTAGAACAACTGTACATGACACAAACTTTAGGCATTTTGATCAGTAGAAATAAACGGGCTGCTTTTACTTCCAACCCTCCATCTGCATTGAATGACTTCGATGCTTCGTCATCTGAAGCCCAGCAACAGCAAACCATTAGCGGATAACATATTCATCAAAAACTGTCTATAAAACTCGTATGTCTCAATAAAGGTGTCAACACCTTATTTATTTCAAATCATCTACGAAATAAAACCCACCGTTTTAGGGCTTTCATGGTTAAGAAACATAATAATGTGACGAATATCTTTAAAACGTTTTCTCTTCGGTCATATTTCAGTCAGTTTTCTCATCAATCTGCGAGAGCGCAACTGGGCATGCGTTTCTCGGCATGACTCTGGGCTGGTTTGGAGTTGCTGATTGGTTCATTGACTGCGGGGGCGGGACAAAGATCAAATCTCTGGAACAGGAGCGCACGAGACTTTCCCGATGGCTGTCATTTCAATATAGCATCAATAAATTTCCGTCATAATCTATTCTTACCCTACATTGGGATTACAATCGCCTCTTCAGCCAAAGAATGTGATGGTAAATGTAAATAACATTTCTCCAATTGAACCGATCAGAAGTCTGCGAGGCTGTGAACGAGGGGATTTCCGCATCTGGCGTCGCTCCAGCCGGGAAATCCCGCGTGCCGTAGTTCAGCTGGCCTCGAGTCCAGCTCAGAGACGACATTCATATGAGATTTTTCTTAAAATTATTTTTCTCGTTAAATGTAAAGCTGAGGTAAATGTTTCCCTCAGCTTCCTCGCTCCTGAGCGCACACAGAAAAAGCGGGACAGGAGACCCAACAAGAAAACTTGTGCGGTTGCTGTGGCGATCGCCTTGGTAGCTTTAGCAAGAATTCGATTTACGTGACGTAGCCAGCTCAATGCAAAATGTCCAGGGCCATAACACCAATAATAGGACCGGGTCGAACGGAACCGGGCTGGTGCAAAAGCCAGCTGCAGTGCAAAAGGGCTTAATATACTGGTAGCCTCGTGTTTAAGGTGTGAATGTTATGTAACCGTCCGCGCCGGTCAACAGCAGTGGGTGGGAGAGAAGGAGGAGGGGTGCGTTTTAGGGCAATTAAATGAGCTTAAACTTCAACAAGATTTCTCCGTTTAATCAAAATGCCTAATAGCCGAAACAGAAAACAAACAGTAATCCATTTGTGTCAATTCTTGTTTGAATTTTCTCTTCCAAGGAGGGTTGTAAAACCCTTATAAGATCAAGTCAACACAATTAAGTATGACCTGAAACAGATTTTCTTCTTTAATTTATTGGAACTTGTTGAGGCATGACTGCACCAGTAAATTACTGTTATAGACCAGAACAACTTAATGCTCTGGCAGTTTGTTCAGGTACACACATTAAAGCCATCATTTTATAAGTTATAGCTATAACACATTAAGTTTAACTTCTGTCAATATAATTTTGTGAAATCTTATAAATGTGGAATATACAATATATTCAACAGGAGTCCATACTTTTAGTCGACATCTGCAAGCAAAACCAGATGTTTAGTTAACTCTTCTATTTTGCTGCAAAATAAGTTTCAGATATGTTTAGACTTGACATCATTTAATTGCTGCTAGATATTCTGGCTTTGTGGAACTTTTTCTCAGATCAAAATGAGGAAAAACATACAAAATGAAAGGGCAAATACCTACACAGATCTAATTATGAAAATGTTTCGACAGGTAAAGCTGTTTCCACATGGGATGTTTTATCATACAGTGACAAGGTATTCATCCCGTTTTAGATTTGAGATTTTCTGTTTTTACTTTTTTTAGTCATAAATTATTACACAAATATGTATATCAGCCAAATATATCGAGAGTAAACACAGGATTATTTCAAAATAATTAATTTAAAATATCCAAGCCTCATGTAAAGTAATACATTTCCAGCATAACTTTCCAAGTTTTTATCTTATACATGTGTGTGTGTAATTGGGTTCAATAATTGTGGCATCTCTTTATTGTAAAGTTCATACTGCAAAAACATCTAACCTACCGGAAGCTGTCGGGTTTGGCTCAGAAGTCAGACTGAGTATGCTGCTGCATCAGAAACGAAGGGTCAGCATCCTGTGCTTCAGATGTACAGTCAGCAGACTCACAGTTACACAACAAATATCACAGCTACATCACAACTACATCACAACTACATCAACCTGATTGACTTTATTTTTACTTTCTCTGAGTTCTCTCATTTCTTTTGAGGTTCAGATGGGTATTATACTATTTACAACAGAGTTTTTTTTTTCCAGTGGAAAAGCAAAAGTAATTTTGAGGTGTGTGTGTTTTGAGTTACGTAACCATAATATAGATCTGCCTACCAAACATGTGTATACTAAAAACTGCAGATTGGTTACTATGTACTCTTTAAATTCATGTCCAGGCAGGCCTGGATTGGGTGCGGTGTTTACTAAGATTTCTACCACCACTCCCACCATTCAAACAAACCTTTACTCTAAATGTCACATGTTCCACTGTCTTTAAAATCAATAACTTGTTTTCAACCAGAACTAAGTGATATGAACTGCTAAAAACAAACAAAACTCAAAATCATGTCCATTTATCTTTTTTTTCTTTTCTTTTTTTATCTATTTATTTATTTATTTTTTACTTTTTAACAATAGCATGCTGCATTATGCACACATCTGTGAGACTGGTTGTTAAATTTACTAAAGTTACCATGGTGTTGCTTTATATAGAGCTGAGTAACTGATACATGTTCGTTTACAATCTTGCCCTGAACATCCAGGGAGCAGCACAACAACATTAAAACGTAACAGTGACACGTTATTGCTTATGTGCTGGAAAATATTGGCTAATGTTTGCATGACCTCTAGATGGATGTGTTGAGGTAGGCAGGGTTTATGTTAATGTTTACAGAAAAATAACAATCATGTTTTCATGTCAGTATTTGCACAAATTTAATGTATGAGTCTGAAAGTTAATGAAAGTATATGCGCTTTGAGAAACAAGAACGTGTTATGATGGTGTAAAGATTTATTACTTCCAAAGATAAATCTGAGTCAAGATATAAAATCATACCAGTTTTCACCAATAATGTCCGTCTTACTCCCAAAAGTCACCAATGGGCAAATTTTCTAAAGATGTAAGTACCTGTAAATTTGCAGTACAGTATGAGTGCTAACTAATAATTCATTTTTTTAAACTATATCTTAATTTTTATTCTCATACAATTTACTCATTTTCACAGGTATTTTCAAAAAAATTTTGTACGTTAGTGTAAATGGTATAACAGTGGATTTCTTTAATTAGTTTTAAGTAACTATTTGGTTCATATTTCACATAGAAAACATCTTAAATTGTGGAAAGAACAGCCGGAGATGCCAATTCTGCTCCTAAATTATAAGGTGGGACACAATTCATTTATTTTTTTTAATTTACACCATTTCATTTGTAGTCTTTATTCTGTTTTTCCATATAATATATTCTATTTTGTGTGAGTCTATTTGCTTTGATTTCATGTCACTTTTGCACATCACATTTTCTAAATCTGAGACAATAAAGAATATTGCTAGTCTATCCTTAATAAAACAAACATTTGCTGCCATCTTGTGGCAAATTAGTGTAGCACCCTTATTTGAGTATCCAGTTATTCTGGAGAATCATGTACAAACCATAATCTAACAGCTATCTACAGGTGCAACAAGGATAAAATGCCTCCAATTACACCAGTTTGACATAATACATTTTATGTATTGGTGCTTCATTTAGAAACTACTTTTTAAGGCTGTGCTCCCAATATTAAGATTTGATTAGGAAACACACTTTTGACTATTAAAAACAAACTGCTGTTCTTTGGGAATTATTTTTATGTCAGTGGTTTAAAAGAAAAACATTACAATCACAAGTGTTGTTGAGACTTTGAAAAAGACTAAAGCCGTATATAATTGTTCACACTTGGTCTAAGTGTTTTTATTGTTTTTCTACTTTTTGTCTTCATTATTATTTCACATTCATTCCATATTTAGGGTTACAAGCAATATGATCTTGCAGGAAGAAATTATTGTGGCAATATTTTTCCTCATCACTGAAATATGCTTTTTTTTTGTATGCTGTGCCTTGAACAGATTTTTATGTTAAATTATGTTTCACAACTATTTTTTTAATATATCTTTCCACCTAAATGTTTATTTGACGGTTGAACATCTAAACGCCTCTTCTTACTAAAAATCAAAACATACATAGAACATAATGTTTCAAGTAGAACCTGCATCACCCGTCCCCTTTTGTGCACGCACGTACACACGCACGACGTACACACGCACAAATATGGCGGCTTCTATTTCACCTCTACGCTCCTCCTTCAGGATCTGCTCACCGTTAACTGCACACTTTCACTGCTGCCGTGCCAAACTGCGGATGCACAGAAAGTACGAGAGTCAACGGAGGCATCTGTACCACTCTGTGAGAAGGTAAACGTTGTCACATTGAGAATAGTGCCATGTTTTGTTGAAATAAGTGGAAGGGATGGAGAGCGGCGTCTTGTCACCGGTGGAAGCAGTGCGAGTACCGTACGTCAGATGTCAGAGGAAGGAGAGTAACTGGCAGCAGTATTTACTTTAAGCGGTAGAGGGCGCAAGGCAAATGGGCGTTAAAGGGCTAAAGGACAGATGCGTTTGTATAAGTCACATGTGCTCTCCGTGTGATACTTTATACTTAGAATGTATATTTATAGCTATAACCATGAAAACATGACTTAAGATCAGTTGACTCTTTCATAATCAGTCAGTGGGAATTTTTTTCAATCTTCAAAGTCTTTTCTCTCAAAAAAATAAATATATTCTAAATATGTATAAATGTTTTATAGCACAGTTTTAATCCAGTTGCTTCTCAAAAATAAATTCTTTCTTTTCTTTACTGTAAACGTCTCCAGGCACAGTGCTGTGGTGATCTCAGGAACAGAGTTGGCCCGTCAGATTCACAGAGAAATCCAGCGAGATGTGGAAGAGCTCGTCGCTCATGGCGACATGAGACCCCACCTTGGCGTAATCTTAGTCGGAGATGACCCAGCCAGTCATACCTATGTTAAGAACAAGACCCGGGCAGCCACCATCCTGGGTCAGATATGAGCAGTGTGTGTCTTAACACTTTCCTCAGTGTGTATGGTGCAGTCATGCACATGCATCTCATTAAGTTTGAATACAGAATTTCTGTAATGCAGTTTGAATATTTATAGTCAAATATTATGTAGGATCTTTACACACAGAATATGTTTGTAATGTTAAAATAATAAACAAGACCAATAGAGAAGGAATATTTATCTCACAAATGTCATATTATGATTATGTTACTGGCTACACATCATATTGAAGACTGCTGACCTGATAGTAGTCAGTGACTGTTAAAGAATCTGGTGAATCTAAATGCAGTCTTGAAATATTTAGTTGAAAGAAAAAAACATTCAAGAGTTTGTCAGGGATTCACAGTTTGTAGAGTGCACCAGGAGTCAGTGCTTCAAGGTAGCCCACAGTGCTTCAAGGTAGCCCACAAATCCAGGGTATCCAGGATTCCTTGTGTTACTAGTGACAACACCAGAAGTGTCTTACCTGGGCTCAAAAGTACCTATTTGAAGGTTAAAATAAATCTCTAAATCACCAGGTATTGTGGGCTTGTACTGTAGTACATGGACAAATTTTTAGAAAAAAAACCCCAATAAAACAAAACAAACAAAAACAAAAGGAATTCTTGAAATATTTGGGCTTTAATTCGTTGCAATTTGCGACACAAACAGAATTAATATTTGACGTGTATTGCTTTGTTCTTGAATCTGTGTAAGATGCGATTTTCCCTGTTACTATCTAATTGCTGAAACAAATTAACTTTTCAGTGCTCTATGGAGATGCATGTGTATGTCAACCTTATGTGAACATACAAATTAAGACAGATAATTAGTTTTTCTTTGTTTTGCAAACATATTTTATAATGTCAAATGTTTATAATAATCAGATCACGAGAACAGGACTACTGTATTTGAAAATGCATTGTTTATTGCTCATCGTGTTATGTTTGACAATCTCCAGGTATTTCCAGTGACACAGTGGTTCGGCCCAGCTCAGTTTCCCAGGAGGAGTTGCTGGGGCTGATCGATAAGATGAACCGTGACTGGAGGGTGAGCGGTCTCCTGGTGCAGCTGCCACTTCCAGGTAAGCAATTAAAAGCTTTAACTGTGTTGCATCATGTGTTGAGAGATTATGTACATACTTATTATTATTATTATTATTATTATTATGATGATGTTTAAATTACTTACAGTATTGCTGTTGTGTACATATTTTTTGTATCAATTTTATATCACTTATGGCTATATTTGTATTTACTTATATTTAACAACTTGGATGGTGTAGCTTGTCAACATATGAGCAATTTTTTCTTGAGGATCAATCAAGTATATTCTGTTCCAATAAAAAAAAAAATGCTTTAACACTTCTTTTGGACTTATTTGATCACTAAAGATCAAACAAAGTGATAACTAGCATTTTTACATTTCAGCAACACCCCATCTTTTGTTGCTTTTTATACTGTTGCAATTAACTTGTAATTTAATTTTACATTTATGAGACACATTGGTCGGTTCAGTAATAGTTAAATAAATTAAATAATAAATGGACAAAAACCATTTAAAAAAGGTAGCAAAAACTAATAATAATTAATAAGTACTTAGGTCTAATGTAATCATATGTATTTTTTTCACTCTGTTCTTCAGAGCACATCAACGAGCGAGCAGTGTGTAATGCAATTGCTCCAGAGAAGGATGTTGATGGTTTCCATATTGTGAATATTGGAAAGTTGTGCCTGGACCAGAGATCGATGGTACCTGCAACGCCAGCAGCTGTCTGGGAGATCATCAAAAGAGCAGGTAAACCAGCAAGGGTTCTAAATCTCACATACATCTTTTTCATTTTGTTCACTTGTACTGGTTCTGAACAAATGTTCCTCTAGAGGGCAGTAAAGATCTACTAACTCTGGTGATATAACCATTCCTTGTTGCTAGTCCTGCTAGTAACCATAACATGTGCTGTAAAATCTTCATAATTCTGATCATGTTTGATCCTTTTATAAATGAATGTTTTGCTCTTTTTTTTTAATTAGTTTCTTCTGGTGTTGAGTTTAGTAAATGCAGTGTCAGTTTTATTCTGTGTTATAGTTTCTCCAATATGTACATCATAGTACGGATGTGCCATATTAGAATTGGCACAGAAATAATAATAATAAGTCAACCATTAGCCAGACAATCTTGCCACCTAGTTTATCTTTCAAAAATGTACATTTGTAACAATCTGTTGAGCAATGCTGACAATGCTGGCAATGTCAGGATTTTCACAGAAAATAGATATGTAGCTCTTTGATTTAATCTCATAGCTATCATTTATTTAAATGACATTGGCTTGGTCAGTCGAAAGAAAACATCCTGTGTGATCACAGTATTAGATTTAATAAGTCACTTTTCTTCATTAACTTTAAGCCTTCAATTGAAATAAATAAATGAAATAGTGGAACATTTTCTTACACCAACAACAAACTCAGAAAGAATGTTTTGTGGTTGTGCCCATTTAAAGCAAAATCTCCAGTCGAACTTGGCTGTTGATCAGTAAAGTTCAGTTCAGGTAACTGTTGCTTCACAGAATGATGGGAGGCGAAAAACATTGCGTAAAATGCCCGTTTCAATCTGCTGCAAGAAATTGCCAATAAAAATATAAATGAAGGCCAAAAAAAAACTTTAAAGGTCCTAAAGGATTTCTTGATATGTTGTTGTTGTTGTGGTTTATTAATAATATGTTTTGGAATAACAATATAAGACAATAAAGAAATTAGACATTAATTTTCTAAACAATCAGTGATTTTATCTTTGAAATGTTCTTTTATCAAGAGCTCTGCCAACCTAATTTATGATGTGTTGATTAAGAGCAAAAAAAGCTGATTTCTAGTGTGATCAGCATTTTTAATTGACATAAATTTTATGGATTTAAGGTTTACCTTTTTGTTCTTCAAATAACTGAGTCCCTTGGCTTCAGTCTACAGGTGTTTGCTTGTAGCCGAAGTTCCAAAAACTAAAAACAATTTCCATCTAACCTCTTAACCCTAAGACTTTTTTGGTTTTCTTGTAGAGTTTTATGCTACATCATTTTAACATTAAACAAAGGTACACTGTTTGTATTATAGTATTCAACCTAAATGCAATGTTTCAAAAAGGACAAAGTTGCACGGAACTTGTTTGTACAACCCTACAGTTCAAAAGGCAACCTGACATAAAAATGTGCAACAAAATATCGGTAGATCTTTAAGATCAGGGTGATTGCTAAGAAAAATGTAATTTTCTTTCCTGGGAATGTGTTCACACAGGAATTGAGACAGTGGGAAAGAATGTCTTGGTTGCTGGTCGCTCCAAAAATGTTGGAATGCCCATTGCTATGTTGCTGCATACTGATCGCAACCATGAACGCCCTGGAGGTAAGCTAAGTGATTTTTTTTTCTTTTATCTGTTCTATCAGTCTATGTTAGTCAGCCCAATAATATGACAAATATCTTCAAAGAAAATTCAAGTTGCACCATATTTGATGCTTTAATCTTTTGTTAGGATATGAATGTACACTTCAATGACTCCCTGCCGTTTTTATCAAAAAAAGAAAAAAAATGCTGATGCATGTCCTGCTGGATGAAAAGAAGGGAGTGTGAAAGCCTTAATCAGGGCGAAACATTTGGCATGGTGCACCACTGGGAGACGGATCCAGTCCTTATATGGGTGCAGGAAGGAAGAAACGGATTTCAAAAGGTGTTGTCTGCATTAAGCAACAAGATTTACTTTACCTGTCAAAGTTCAGCAATATGACAGGATAAAGAGACCCAAGTTGCAATACACATGCTAAGCAGTATCATAAAAGAATGCAATAAGCTGTGGTTTCTGATCTCATTTAAGAAATTACAATAAAGAAAATAAGTAAAGAGCTCTAGGGAGTCACATTTCTGTACATGTTTAAAGCAAATGATATACAGACTGCCTGTGGCAGTCACAACCAATCAGCCATTATTTAGCTAATTCCAGCTTTCGGTTTCCAAGAATCTACAGAACAGAAGAAACCAGTAAAGAAAACAAGCTTCTTACCAGTTTTACCAGTTTTTGAACAAACTGTTTTGAGATTTATTTCTAACTGCTGTTCTTCTTTCATGGTTCATGCCCTTTTAAAAGTGTAGACACATTCTGTAAATGGGTTACTTGGTAATTTCTTTGCTGGTGTGATCACGTTAACTGAAACAAACAAAGATTATATTTATACTTTCTCATTTCATTAAAATATATACTCTTTTACTGGCCACTTCATTAGGAAAATCAGATTGGACTCTGTATTCAAAACTAATTCTTTTTGCTATAAATTCAACAATGTTTCTGAAACATTCCAAAAATCTGGGATCCACATCAGCACCACAGCTTCACACAGTTGACGCCACATTGTTGCCTGAATGTATGATGCAAATCTGATGTTCCACTACATCCCAGAGGTGTTCTGTTAGATTCTGATCTGGTGACTGTGGAAGCTATTTGAGTTCAGTTAAGTCAAAAGAATTTTCAGAAGAATTCAAGTTTGTGACGTGGTACATTATCATGTCAGAATGATCAATCAAGACATACATACTCATAGATAATCTGTGATGTGACGTGATTGATGTTATTGGCAACAATACTTCTGTAGCGTGTTGGTTTTAGCTGATAATTAGTTGTTTGTAAGGCATCCAAATTGTGCCAAAAATACCCTTGACAACATAAAACCACCACCACCAGCAACTGTTGACACATCCTGGAGCGATCCATATCTTTATGTTGTATATTTGCAATTGACAGCCCAACATCTAAATTTCAGAGCTGAGTGGAGATTCAATAAAAGAGTAAATATTTTCATTAATCTTACATTTACCTATGTTGTTGAAGCTATGTGAATTATATCTTAGTACACTTAAAATGGGACAAAACTAACTTATAATTAACTTTTAGCAAGAAATAGTAGCATGTTTTAAGCAAATCATTTCTTAATATTGATAAAAAATGTACTAGTTATAAGTGAAATAATCCGCCATTAGAACAAAACAATTTTACCATATTATTATAGCTTATGTGACTATTTCAATGTTAAAAATCAGTTTTGTTTTCATTGATACAGCTGTTTGTCAGTTGCATGAGAGTTTATCTATGTGTCACTGCAAAACAGGTATCTGGTAACACAAGACTCTGTGAGAACTTGTTTATGTGGTTCAACCCTTTTCAAATGAAAGGATATGTAAAATTCCAGTTGAACTTTATAGCATGTGCACCAGTGAGCTCTTGGTTTCCCCACGACTTCATACTTGGGTGAAACCCTCAGAATCAGTGTGGGCGGCTTAAAGGTTTTCCCCACAAATTAATTTTCCATAGTTTTTATCAGTTACAGGAAATAAAATCTTTACTTTATTAAGTAGCTCTTCCTTTAACAGTTTCTGCTCTTCCTTTAACAGTTTTTCTTTGTGATTAATTCAGTTTTACAAAAACAGACCAGGAGGAATAGGAACAGTTTAGACAGAAAAGCCAATGATCCAGAGACTTTAAACTTTTACTCACCCTCCATAATATATACCTTCCGAATATATATCAAAAACAATATGCGTTATTCAATTGGCAAGTTTGTGCTAGATTGAAACAAGACCGGTTTCATCTGCAAACAGATAAATTTTTTTCTCCCTTGATATTGAAGCCCCAGGTGGATTAAACAGAACAAAAATTTTATTCCAGCCTCTACATGCGACCTTGGGTAAGACATTGAGCAACAATTGGCCTCCAACTCTTTTATCAGTTTAAGTGTGCATAGTAAAAATATTCTCTCTGCAGATTTGATACAATGGATACTTAAATCTTAATTTAGAAAAGGATCTCAGAATTACCAACAATAAAAGGTAAAACACACTGTTCATAACAGGTGAGCATAAAGTTGATCCAATATACACAATACCAAAATAACATTCTGACTCTGCCTAAATAGATTATTGATCAAGTTGTAACTGTTTCAACACCTTTTTACCACAGCTTTGTTAAAATTTTAGAAAATTCTTCCAGAATATAAATGAAAGGTGCAAATAGATCACAAAAAGTTTCAAATAGTTAGTCGCGTGCAAAGGCTATTGATACTTTGGAACGGACTAAGATGCAGGATCCATTAGGAATGGGCAATTATTGTGTCATATAGCAGAGGAAAGAAAAATACTATCACAGGATCTGAAATGTTATCAATGAATCAAAATGGTTTCTTTGTTCTAGTTTTGAGAAACATGAGAATGTGCGTTGAATTGTTAGATTTGCTGTTTGAACCATTATTTTGTTCGATCTAACTATTATGTACATACAAAGTGATCATAAATATGACAAAGTTATTGTATAATAAATACTCACCAAATACTATGATAAAGTCAATATTATCCATCCCTGTGATTCAAAGGTGCATATTTACTATTGTGTCATAGTAAAATATTCCTCTTGTGAAAATGTATATCAAATTGTGGTAGAGCTTTGTTTTTAGTTGATGGTTTTACTTCCTGTCTGAGTGTCATCTTGTGCAGACTAAATACTTATTATAAAGTATTTTTAAAATATTAAAGTTCTTTTATTAAAGTTTTTCAGTCGTGGCACCATAAGCCTCATCTATCTATTTGCGCTCAGTTTTCCTCAGTGTGTGGTTTGACTCCAACAGGACATGCCAAAAGATAGACATGCATGCTGCAGTCAAACATTGTGACCTTTATTTGACCAAAGAATAAAAAAGCAAAACAAAACGAAACAAAATCCTGTCAACTGAAGCTAGTTAAAATAGAAAAATGTTCAAGGGCAATGTGGTAATTTTATTTCAATTACCTGTAGTTGAAATAAAAAATGTACAGAAATACTGTACAATTACTCTTCTAATCTCTGAAATCTCGTCCCTGCTGCATCATCTTAGTAGCTATTTTCTTAAGTTGAAGGAAACAAATCTTATGCATAAGAGCAAGGGCACAGAACTGCATTGCACAGTGCTCATAGTCTCTCAGGAAAAATGTCACATTCGTCTTAATATTATTTTTACCATTTCATTATTTTTATTAGGTATTTACCAATTAATAATATAAGTTTCATTGCTGATAAAACTGAAGCACAACCTGTGCACTTGTTTTACATACTAAGCTCTTGCGATGACATTAAAATAAGCCAAATTCCTACAGCATGACTGATAAAATGGTGTGTCCCTACAATGCATGTTTTAAAAGTCAGACAACAGTTCATCTGTAAAGCGACCCTGAGGTTCGATGTGCTGGGACTTGTCACACATTACATCATTTTCTTTATCTTGTCCAAAAATGTTCCAGTGTGACTCGTTCTATTTTCTTTCTAAGACTTCCTTAGTCACAAGGGCCACACACTGTAGTGAAGAAACTTACATTTATTGGCGTACATGCCGTTTTTGAGATCTATAAAATTTGTGAAAACATAAGTATTTTATGGCAATGACAGTAAATGTGGTTTTTACTAAGTTTTAGAGTTCTGCCTCATTCTCAGTGTAATGTTCTTACAATGTTAACATCGTAGCATTGTGGAGGATGAATCTGAGTTTTCATTCCCATAATCACTAACTTAAATTTACATAAAACAAAGAACAATTACCCACATTAAATAAAAAATGTTATTTTTGTTGCTTAATTCAACCTAAAAGCTCCTTTTTGCCTCTCAGGTGATGCCACAGTGACGATCGCTCACAGATGTACACCAAGGGATCAGCTGAAAAAACTTACTGTGCTGGCTGACATCATCATTGCAGCGGCAGGTAATTAAAGTCTACCGGAGAGAGAGAATTTTTGTTATTTGTCGTCATAGTTCAGTTAAGTGTTTGTTAATGGCTACAAAATGGTAGCATTATTCCTATTTTTACTAAATGCAATAATTCTTACCGATGCTTTTGGATGCAACAACTGAAAATCAAATGTAGCGGTAACAAAATATATCCATGAATAGTTTAGTTTTTAGGTTTCATGGATTTCACATATTTTCTAGTCTATAATTTGTATCACATCAAATCCTATTTTCATCTAAATTCATTGCCTAGGACAAGGCTCCATAAAAATACTCTTAATTTAATTTTAATATAACTTTTTTTGTGCAGTATCCTGGAGAGTTTTAAAAAGTTAAAAATATATAGCAGTTGTGGTGTTATTTTGTAGTCACATATTGCCTAAAGATCTAAAAATATAAAAGAACCATTGTGTAAGATCTAAAGAGCCACTGTTGGCTCCAAAGTCTCAGTTGACGATAAAGGCAGCGTTATAATAGAATGGGTCAGATTTGATCAAATCTGATTAAAATTCATAAACATTTGTTGCTGTAATTACTAATTAGCTGTTAAAAGTAATCTGAGTACTGAGTTCATTTACTTTTCAAAGAACAGATTGAGTCACTTTCACATAGTCAAGCCATCAGTTAGACTTGAATGTTTCTTTTAGTTTGTTTGTCATTTTTATTGACTGTTTTCATACTTTTATTTGTTAATTTATTTTATTTGTGGACTTTGGTCATTTTATTTTCATTCTTCATTTCACTGTGATGCTCTTTGCGATTTTATCAATGAAAAGTGTTAATATAAATACACTTTGCCTACAGATATATATTAGCTATACTATAAATACAGTTTGGGAAGCAGTTTGTGGGTTAAACTGGAAATTATATGCAACCAAACATTTTTATTTATTTCATTTTTAAAGGAACGTAAATTGTTTACTGTTCCAGATTCTATTCTCCTTTTATAATTCTTCTGTCTAAACAGGTGTAGATTCTGCTGTACACGCCTTAATCATTGAGACTCTTTGAATTTGCATAAAAATAATCACTGGTATGCAGGCTGGTATTGCAAGAAAGAGGAAATATTATGCAAAAGGCTTACCAGCCCTTACTTGAATAGTTCTTGTTCAAGTCTGCATTGTAAATGTGGAAATTTCCAGATAATTGCTTTGTCTCAACTCTATTCCTCATTATGAAGAACAAGGTGGTCTTATAGGGTTGGAATGAGAACCTATCAATCATGTGCAAAACTGTAGTAACAATGCCAGGTTACACCCCCAATGACGGGGTGTAACCAACATCTCGTAACCAACAACGTTAAAGGATTTTTTTCTTCTTGATGAAAAGATTAACCTTTCAGTTCATTTTATGTTTGTGAGCTATACAGTGCTTGTTTCATTCTGAAGTATTTTTTTTTCTTTTTTAATCTCACTCAATGCACATACTCTCAATAAATTTTTCAGTTGCTATTACTTTTGTTAGTAAACCAGCCCTTATAATAATAATATAACATTGACCAAGTTCTCTTAGCCACTCTTCAAAATGGAGAAAACAATAGTAAGGGAGATACATGCTGATCTGCTTGTTCAGGAAAGGGCTACAAGAAAATAGCTTTCCATATCCATAATAATAGGTACAGCAATGGTTAGTAATTCATGGCTGTCACAGTCAAATATCTGGACTTGTATGAAAGGACTAAGATCAGAGCAGAATGGTAAGCAGAGGTGATTTTTAACTCGAGTATTTTGAGACTTGAGACAGCTTAATTTTGAGGGCAGCCTGAACTGCCTGAACTTTTTTCAGTTTTTTTCTTCAATGGAGCCCAGGTGCTAAGCATTACACACAGAGTAAGAAATGTACAACATTGTACTTGATGGCTGACTAAAGTTGCTATTGCATTTGCATCTTTAGGTTTGGGGCTTCAATAAAGAATTATTTCACAGTTTTTAAGAAATCTGGACTGCATTTGACCATCTTCACGGTCTAAAATGCTTAGATGGGTCAAAATTTAACTGGATTATTTTGCACCCCACATAGATCTTTGAAAATGACTCACCCAGGGAACCAATTCCAGATGGTAAGGGACATAAAAAAATCTCCCAGGCTCATAAATAGGACATTACAGCATCGAGAATCACCTTTACACTCTATAGAAACCATTAAAACCATATTTACATGTTAAGTGGTTATTGTCTCATTTAAAAATGATAACGGTATGAAAAATCAACTTGTGTTCGCTGTTAAACATGGAAGAGAATCTATGAACCTGTTTTTCTTCCAAATGCCTTGGAAACTTTAAGGATGCGGCATAATAAGCTCCTACCAGATCACATTAAAGATTGAAATCGTGACATCTGCTATAGAGCTGAAAATAGATCCCTATATTGGAAATGGCAGTATAATGATCCAACTACATGGCTGAATCAACTCAAAAATGCATCACCAGACACAAAGTGTTATTCTTCAATGACCTTCTCAGTCCTCAAAAGTAAATATATTTGTGAAAACCTGAGGAGAAGGTTGAATCATAGAGAACAGAGGACTCTAGACTGATCTGGGACATAAATGTGGCACTAAGGATTTAAAAAAAAATTATAAAGTTGTATTTTTTATTAAATAAACATTCTGTTCTATATTATGTTTCAAAACATTAATTTGGAGATTATGTTTCAGAAAACTGCACATTTTAGCAGATTTACGTCATGAGGAACTGAACTAATAAATCCTTTTACTAAGTTTCAAAATAGAGAAATAGTGAACACTAAATAAACATTACTTTAATATAATTTGATTAGAAGTTTTGGAAGATATTAGGTGAACTATTCACCTAATAGTTCACCTATTAGATGAACTATTATTATTGCTCACATTATTGTGCCTAATTTATACTCCCCTCCCTAAGTCTGAGTTTTTCTCACTAGTTCTCAGTAAAGATGTACCAATATAAAAAGTTGGGCTAATATTGATATTGAATGTTAAATAAATAATAATAAAAAAGAAAACAAACAAAATAAAAAAAACACTACAACACTGACATGCTCCTCTGTGCTCCATCACTGTGACCTGTCCAAATAACTTCCACATGGACAACACCTTTCAACTCCTAAAACACAAACTTGAATAAAACATAATTAATATTGACCCAGTTTTATTTATGAGACCAGTACTGATATGTTAAAAAGTGATCAGTGTCTCCCGTTACTGATCTTAATGCTGATATATTGTGCATTCATAATTCTCATGACAGGAAGAAAATATACTAAAAGACTGTTACTGAAAGATTTTATTCCTTTTTATTGATAAATATGTCTTCTTGTTCCCCCTTTGATCAGGTGTCCCAGGTCTGATCACAGCAGACATGGTGAAAAAGGGTGCGGCAGTTATTGACGTCGGCATAAATCGCATCCTGGACCAGAACACAGGGAAAGTCCGGCTCATCGGGGATGTGGATTTTGAAGGTAAAACAAGCAATACATTTTGCCAGGATTGCTTCAGCGCAGGAAATGTTTTAATACCTGCACATCGCCTGCATTTCCCGGTGAATAAAAAGCATTGCCTAACAACGTATCTTGTGTCTGATATTTGTTTTAGGAGTGAAGGAGAAAGCAGGTTTCATAACACCTGTTCCTGGAGGTGTGGGTCCAATGACTGTTGCCATGCTCATGAAAAACACTGTGACTGCTGCCAGAAATGCACTGATGCATTAAAAATAGCATACACCCTTCATTTTAGTTTGCATTGCAGAGAGGTAACAGCATATGGACATGCAATAACCTGCATACATTTCAGTACGCACTCAAAAACAAACCCTTCTGCTGAACAATTACACACTTTTATTTCAACAGTTTTGACCTCAAGATTTCGTACTTGCCTGGAAACCTACTTGATATGTACCATGTTTACGTCCATATTTATTGTTTATTTTATTGCTGTAATTCAGATTTTGCTTTTGTACATGTTAGATTAATATTTTTTCTACTGCAGTATTTTGATTTATTGAATATGCTTGAAATTAACAAGAAAGAAGTCATAATAAAAGTGGGTTTCAGTCAGTGCCATGTCAATGTTTTCGTTATTAATATTTAATTTCCATATAATTAGACCCATGGGACGTCAACTTGTTTTTGTCAAAAATAGGTCTAGGTTTTATATTCTAGGTGAGAACTAATATAGTGAACCCTGGTTTTTCGCAGGGGTTTCGTTCCGAAAAGAACCCGTGAAGTAGTTTTTCACAATTATTATAAAGCATAATTAAATGCTCGACATTGAATCCAAAGAACAAAACCTGTTTTCAGGCCCAAGCATTTTTTAAACAAATAGAATGCTTTTTTACAAATAACTACAGTAAAATAATCATTTTAATCATCGATACGAAGTACAGTAGGACAAATTATGACATGCATATTTCACTGTGCCTCTGACTGTGACACTGCGGCCTGCCTCCACTTTGTAGTATCGTTTTTCTTGTGAACCCTGTGGTGCAGGTGTGATTTTTCTAAAGAAGAACATCGTTATCGGCAGTTGTTGTTGCTCTTTTTCCTTCTGGGCAAAAATATTTGCCCAAATTTTCCAACCTGGATTGCCTATATTTAAATTCCGTAACATTGTTGGAACACAGGTAGAGAAGAAGTGCATAGACTGTTTAGCCAATCAGGACGCAGAACTCAAGAAACTGTGAAAAAAACACTACAAAAAAAAAAAAAAAATCCACGAAGCAGTGAGGCCGTGAAAGGTGAACCGTGTTATGGCGAGAGTTCTCTGTGTTGTGCTACTTATGGTGGCAGCATGTTTGAGTAACTATGATATTAGTTCTGAATTTTTCTTTCTATAGATTTTTCCACATCATTTATTTTGGTTGAAGCATTACTTTTTTGGGGAAACGTTCCTCTGGTTTTGGATGCTGAACAGTGGTAATTATTTCTGTTCTTTCTGTTTTTGACAGTTGTTTAGATGTGACAACCTGGTAAAATCCAGCCCCTTGTCCGACGCTGTTTGTTTTGTCCAGAGGTTCTGGGTTCTTGGCTGTTGAGAAACAATATCTTTGTGAAGGCGTGGATTGTGTTGGGATTTTTAAATTTCACCCAATTGCTGCCGTCTGCCTGTGTGACATATAATGTACCAGTTCGACAGCAAGAAGCTTTCCAGAACTTGTCTGTGCTGTAAACTACAATCTTCCACTGCAAAGAGAGAAGAGCCAAGCTGAATGAAGCAGCTGTTAGTTCGATATTTGTAAATGTGTCCAACAGAGACTCAACAGTTTTGTTCACTTCCTGCGCTACCATTGCTCAACCTTCAGGCAGACTATAATTCTAAAACAGCGCAGAAAGTATTGATAACAAATATGGAATCAGAGTACAGTGTTTGCTGATCTGAATTATATATCTATATTGAGCAATTTCTGGGGTAATCTATCGTTTTACTACTTTTAAACAGGAAAACACCATAACTAGTGCCTGCAACATTTACTACCTTTGTTCTTACACTGTGTACACATTTATTAGGCAACCATATTTTTAAGGATTATTTTTATTTATCACCAACTGCAGTGCTTGACATTCAACATGAATGTTTCAGAAAACGAATGTGAGGTTTTGACTTTTTTTCGGAGTATATCTGTATTTGCACAATTACTGGGTGACTGTAATTGTGCAGACCTGTTATCCAAGTTCAACCAAATGAAGACATTTTTCCATCTCACTGTTTAATATGCATCAGTTTAAGTCAGAATTATAAATAAACAACTCAATAAACAGCAAGAAATGTGTGCCCAATATCTCCATTTTAATTTTCCTTCTTTTCTTCCATTTCTTCCTGTCATACAGTCTTGTCAGTTTCAACAGCAAACATAGCCTTGCAAACACTGTTCAGAGAGGTGAACTGTTTTCATTCACCTTAAGTGTTGAGGTCCAAGCATATCTAATAGCTAATACCAATATCCCACCTTCACCTTTCTGCTGTCTGAATCAAAGTGGAGTTCTGTTCCCCTGACTAATCTGCCCACAAGAGTTGCTCTCATTCCATCAGTTCTTTTGAAAAATCTGTCCTCAGGTATTTCTTGGCTCAGTCTTGACACTTGCGTTTTTGTGTCTTATTAAGCATTGGTCAAGTTTCAGCCTGTCTTCTCTTGGCCATGTCTCTGAAAACTGAACATCTTGTACTTCTAGTTTCTCCAGGCTGGTTGCAGTTACAGAATATAACATAACTGAAAGATAATGAGTTCCTAACCAACAAAAAGTTGCATGGTTCTGTGATCATGCCCCAATATCTCAGCAATTTCTAGAGTGCTGTATCCATCTGAGAGACTGTTGGCAATTTTTGACTTTTTAGAGTCAGTTAAATCTATTTTTGGCCCATTTTTCCCAAAGAAAAGAAACTGCCTGATAAATATACATCATCTTGATATATAGTGTTGTCCTTGATGAGCCAACTCCTTTAAGTCTGAAAGTATGTGTAAAAACTGATGAAATGGCCCAGATACTCACTTAATACCTGCGCACACAGTGTAAACAAGTGCCACCTTTATTTCTTTTCAAATTAAGATTAACTGACACAGAATCAGCAACATGCAGATCATAACTATTGTTTGACAAGTTAAAACATGAACACTATTCAATAAGTATGTTGACACTGTAATTTAAGTTGCTACCTGCATCATAAAGATGTTTTAAGGAAATTCTAAAGAAAATTCAGGTACCACAAAAAGGATGATCCACCCTGGTGACAATGAGCGTACGGTTTCACAATATTGGAAAATAGAAACCAGCCTGGGAATTGTTTGTCTGTTGTCTCCCAACTTTCTCTCTGAGGATAGTGACTCATGTTTTATAATTTAGTTATAAAGGACGGTTAGTTTAAGGACGGCTTAATCAAGAAATATCTCCAAAATATCTCCAGTCAAATGAGATGCAATAAATGCTGTAACTCTACCTGGACCATCACAACAGATAACTACACTGCTTTTAGATGTAACTGTATTTCATTATGTAAACAGTATATAGCTAAAGCGGTTTAGCTTTGAATAGTTGACACACATTTTCTAGACTTGGAGAGGATACTGGGGGAAAAAAAACCCATTGCAATGGAAGTTATGTTTTTTAAAACTGTAAAACCTTCAATTGAATGCAACGGGGAAGGTTTAGTTTGTCTCTTCTCTTTGGTAAAAACTGAATGCCAGAAAAAAAAATTCTCTCAACCACCAAAGCCCTGAAAAACTTTCCCTACAAACAACTAATTGTGATGTGTTTGTTTCTCAGACTTGTGAATCAAACTTTTGTTTACTTAAAACAGCCAAGCTAGATTTGTCTTGTCATCTCAAGAAAATGCTACGTTTTTTTTTTTTTTTAAATAGCTTCAGGTTGTTAGGTAGCAACAAACAGTCTTGTCAGAAAAATTAACAGAGTGAAATCAAGAGGAGGGTAATGAAACGGGTTACACCCAGTTTCATCGTTTTCCCCTGGATGTCACTCTCAGAATAACTTCCATAAAACGTCAGTGGAGACATGGGGCATTGCAACCAACAGAAAGCGGGTACATTGTGGTCACAAAGGGACGGATATGACCAGGATGGCTGAGATGTTTAGTCATAATTGCTACTAAGGGGCCCAGTTTGGCCAAGCAAATACTCCCACAGCATGAACTGTTGATTCATGTTGTCTTGTGGTTTATGCCAAATGCTATCCATTCTACCTAGCTGACAGGAATGCACTCTAATTTTGTCTTTTGTTGATGTAGCCATCCGCTTCAAGGTGCTGTGTGAGATAGTATTCCACATTGTTTGGTAGCGCAGAGTACTTGTATTAAGTACTGTTACCTTTTTATCAGCTTGTCTACCTATATTCATATGACTCTTGCAATCAACAAGGCGAAAAGAAATTCTCCTTTTTTGGATCACTTTTCATGAATCTAAGAGATGGTTATGGGTAAAATCCAATAGGCTAGTGATAGTTGGCCCAACCAAAATGGCACCAACAACCAAGCCATGTTCATATTCACAAATACACCCTGTCTGATGAGCTGATAATCTTACCAAGTACTTTTGGGCTAGTTTCTAGTTCAAATGTCTTGGTGCACTATAGGAGCTTGTTTAAGAAATAATGTGCCATGGGAGAAATACATTCTAACTTACAAAATGAGAAAACTGTTTTGTTCCACTGTAGATGATTGCATTCATAGCTAGTGTTTTTTTCATCAATATTAATAAATTATTGACTTAAAACAAGTTCGTATTTCTTGCTGAAAAGTTGTTTGTAAGTTAGTTTTGTCTTATATTAAGTGTCCTAAGGTATTTGTACTAAAAACTAGACCAAACATACATAGTAAGAAATCTTTCTAGAAGCCTAGGTGTGGTAAGTTATTGCGATAAGATTGGTTAAATAGTGAGCCAGTAGTAGTGGAAGTGGAGCCGACCACCACCGATTGACCAGTAAAAGACTTAGACGCCCTGGAAACTGATCATTGGCTGTTGGATTCAACTTCATCCCATTCAAATCAATTCAAAGTATCTGGCAAGTATTTTGCGAGTATTTTTTAATTGAGGAGGTATAACTCATAAAACAGCTTATGAATTTCAGAATTAAACCATCATGAGGAAGAAACCGCTGCTAATGTCAGACAACGTCACTCAGATTTTTCAATTATGCATTTATCATTCGTGTCTGCACCTGTTGGACAGAGACACTGAGACAGCCAAAGACAACAATCTAGCCAGAAACTTGCTCTTGTAATCTCATTCTTGATGAAACTACTTCTAACAAACTAAAAGACATACTTCAGATACACACTCAGCCTCTCACTGGCTTGTGTCTGTGCTTCCAGAGAATACCTTCAATAAAAGGAGCCTTGAGGTGAACACGTGACCCTTGCACTACCACTGGCACCCCTGCCAGCAATTAACACCACAGGTTCTGCCTCTGCATGTAGAGATGAAATGTAATGAAAAGAAGGATGTGGATGGGTTTTTTTCTCAGAAGGAAATGCCTGTCTTTGTTGAAACTTGGCAGGTCTTTGATTGGCTGCGAAACATCTTCAAAGGACTGCAGCAACTATATAGTCT